TGGGGGGGAAAAGCTTTTCTCTTTAAAAAAAAAAAAAAAAAAGAGCTAGGCAACTTACAAGTTCACACGGGCACGTCTGAACTTGCCGTGCGTTCTGCGCATCGCCGACCAGCCCACTGGCGAGTACGTAGAACGCTTCCTTGGGCAGCGCTTCCGAGCCGAAAGGCACCTGTGTGCAGGTACCTAAAAACGCTGGCCCTGCCAACGCTGGGCTCACTTTCACTTTCACAGGCCCACGTCTGAGTACGTAAGCCGGCCCACGCTGCGTTCCCGAACGCAGACGTGACGCAGAGCGGTCGGAGTGGAGACGAGTGTCCAAATGTTTCGAACCCTGTACATGCAGTCAGTCAAAGCAGTTCGGGGAGCAGGAGCGCTTGTTTAAAATCCCCCACAGCGCCGCTGTGAGTCAGTGCTCTGCTCAAAGCCATTTGCATTTTTTCTTTTCATCAAATAAGTCTTTTACTTGCTGGAGCTGTTTCTGGACTTCTTCAAACCCCCGTTCTCGCTCGAGTTTGCTGACAATCTGTTAACAATTAGCAAAAAAAGAGAATCGGTTTTTTAGTGCTTATTTTACCCACTGTTTTTTAAAGCCTGCTTTTCTGCATGCCAGCAACTACTGGCAGAAAAATCCATCTGAATGCCTGCCTATATGTAAACATTCTTTTCTGATTTTTAACGCTTCATTTTGGTATTTTTCCTTTCAAGTCATTAAGATTACGGGCTTTGCAACACTTCCACAAAAGAATGACAGAGCCAAGCAAAAAAGCCCAAACAAACCCAATGCATGTTCATCTCTCGGGGCGCGAGGCAAGGCCAGTTTCACCCTAGAGCAGATCTGCAAATGATCTTTTATTTCTCTTCCTCTCCTGGCCCACTCGGCACCGGCCCAGGTGATGGGGAGGAGCGTTACTGCTGTCGGAAACCTCTGCGCTGGCAGCCCTACAAAGCGACCGAGGTCTCAGCAAAGAACACAGGAGTTTTAGCTGCTCCCAGTCAAAAGCCAGAGGGGGAAGCGCAGAGGGAGGGTTTCCTTCTAAGGAGGGGGTGAGGTTAGCCAGTACTAGCTTCAAAAAAGCAAAAATGGGCACCAAGATTAGAAGTATCCTGAAACCTCCTGTGTCAACAATTTTAAAGAGCTTAATCACGTGTAGTGCCATTCTGAGTACCACCCCAAGCGTCTTGCCGGAGGCCAGGATCTGAGGCCGAGCCCAGACAATTTGAGACCTTAGCGACCAGAAGCGGGAAGCTAGCTAACAGGTGGATGATTACGGCAAGCGCTGCTGCTGTGCTGCTGGGGATGAAAGGGAGAAAGCTCTGGTTGCCGGGAGACCCAGACAACCTGCTGGAAGTGGTGAGGAGGCCTTCAGGCAACCCAGCCCAGCTGGCTCCTCTCTGCGGCCCTGCACAGGCAGGCGCAGCCTCTGTTAAGGATGCCGAGCAAAATGGAGTGGAGAATCCTCTCCCGCAAAGCGGAGCGCAGGGATTTTCTTACAAAGCAGCTTAAAGGCAGCCTGTCGCTAAGTGCTTTCAGTCGAGAAAAGATTTATTTTTTTTGTTGGCAATGGCAGGGACTGGAAGTGATAGCTTCTTTTCTGGAAGAGAAAGACCATTAGAGCAGAGCATGAGGGCTATGACGGGAAAGGAGCCGACACCTCTTGCTGTGAGGCTGAGGGTGCTCCGCTGAGGTGCCCGTGCTGCCTGTCACATCGAGATCCCCGGTGCTGCAGGCTGATCTGGTTTCTGACTCGCCAGGGAAACGCAGCGCGTGCACAGGAGCTGTGACAGGCATTAGCAGACACGCTGCAAACACAGTGAACCCAGAAGCCTGGACTCTATAGCAACTTTCTCCAAACTGCAGGGAGAATTTTATTGCTACTGTCTCTGTGAAATACAGCGGTGACAGTAAAGGTGCATGTATCAACCTTTGGGTGTGACCCCTCGGGGCG